TAGTCAAGCCATTTGGCATCTAGCCAACAGTAGTGATAAAGGAACTGACAGCACAAATGCATTGCCCAGAGATGATGGCACTGAAGCACTAGAGACAAAAATAGTAGGTAAAGAAGAGCAAAACCTGCTCTATGAAAGCAAGACAAATTCTAGTATGTTAATTCAGACCACAACAATGACCTTACAAAGCTCCACAAAAGAAATGCCGCAAACTTGGGAAAATGGAAAAAGTGAAAAACATTTATTGAGTAGTTCAAGTTCTGACAAGGAGGACATTGCAGCTAAAGATTTGAGGATGACAAGTTCCTGTGAAACCCAAAATAGAACCCCTCACAGTGAAATTGATCTCCAGATTAGCAGTAATATGCATGATTTCAACATTCAAAATACTCAACCAGATAAACCGTGCACAGAAAGAAGGTGCAGTGACAGTAGGTGACTCGTGCAGTGCTGTCCCTCTTACCAGAGTTAAAAGGCATTCATTTTGAGGCAGGGAACGAGGTACCTCTAATCCTAGCAGAATAAATGAAGCTGAAAACTCTGCTCCAAAACCTGCACTGTATCCACCATCTGGTGAAAATGCTAATGCATCACCTTTAGAGGCAGAACAAAGTAAGCAAAATCACTCAAATAATAATTATTTTCTACTTTAGCTTTCTTCAAAAGGACACACAACACCCCTTAGCCTTTGCATGCATTTCAAATGCATTATTTTGGAAGACAAATCTTCAATAATTCCTTTTTATCAATGAAATAAAAGCGTACAGTTGAATACAAGGTAAAAATCAAAGATGCAGCCACAAGATATGTTTGACACAATTAACTAAGTGTGCGTCCCCAAGAAACGGAAGAATAGAAAAGAAACATGTTGTCTGGTTCTGGAAAAGCAGCCAAACATTAAAGAAAAAAAAAAAAAGAACCTCAAACAAATGAAAGATTAGACAAGAAAAAAGTGAGCGGTTTTATACTTCATGTTTATTTTATGGAAATTATAATACAAATCTCAATTAGTGGTATTACACTATTGCTTTCTACACAGATGATTCTATATTTATATTTGTGCCTGATTTGTTTTCCTAATTATAGTATGAAAATGAAAATTCAGCTTTGCTAACTATAGTTTAGCTGATGAACATACTGGTATATTTCATCCATTTGTAACTGTTTTGTTGACAATTATCCTAGAGCTTAAGTAGAAGTCTTTAATACCTGTTATTTTTCTAAGAGAAGAAAAAAATAAGGATTTTCCAGCTAGTAGGCTGTTACTGTAAAACCTGCAAAATCCTTTAAATCCACTAGGTGGAGATCTCAGATTCAATCATATAAAAAGAACAACTAGGGCTTCAAGATCAACACAATGGATTCCGAACAAAAGGAATTTTAATGAGCTTTATTGCCAATTGTTATTAATTTAAGATTCTGAAAACTAAATAACCCATTAGCATGTAGCTTTCAAGGTTTGATCTCTTTGAGTTTTAGTATGCAGCTATTGTTTGGTGTGAGTGCTCTTGCACAGGAATTAAAAGTCTTACAAATATTAGGTTTAAAAGCAGTGTCATTAGCTGTGTCTCATTTATAGTCACATTAATTTGAAAAATATAGGTAAGTGAGGGTGTTGTGGCTTAGCTGATTAAGCTGCCCTTGGGAAAGCCCCCATTTCATATCAGAATGCGTAGGATCAAGTTTCTCTTCCACTTTCAATCCAGCTTCCTATTAATGAACTGGGTATATAGCAGATGATGGTCCAATTTCTTGAGTCCCGGCCACCCATTGTGAGATATCCATTGGGAGCTCCTGGCTCCTAGCTTCTGCTTGGCCTAGCTCCAGCTGCTCTGGGCATTTGGGGAGTGAACCAGTGGAAGGATGATCTGTCTCTTTCTTTCTGTCTCTCCTTCTCTCATTTCCATCACTCTGCCTTTCAAATAAATAAATAAATATTAAGAAAATAGATATACTCAAACAACTTTATTGTTCAACACTCCAGTAAAGAACACAGTACAGAATATTATATTTCACATTTCCTAGTGGAGGAAAAAAAAAACAACCTCCTTTTTTTCTATCTCTGTAACTATGTAACATCTGGCATTATTACAAAGATTAAGAGATATTTGAATAATGTAAATATTGCTTGCAAGCCCCACCTGTCTTCCATTTCCCTTTTTATTTAGAATTGCCAACAATTGACATAACTTTATTTTGAAAGTCTCTAACTTTATTACTTCTCTTCTTTCTATTTGCACACCAAGATTCAAGATTGTCTTGCTTTTAACTCCAACTCATTTCCCCTCTGTTTTTGTTTGGCCCCTCTGCTGGAGCTTAACTTCTGTGCCATCTGTCTGCCTTCTCTGACCTCACTTCATTTTGTTAAGTACTTTTAAGGTGAGAAGAGCATCTTATGCCAACTTTTTGCACGGTAAGTTCACTCTATGCTAATTGACAGCTCCCTCAGCTTTGTGGACCAGGTTACTTTTTTCTCAATATCCTTCTTTGCTTATCCTTTTCCTATTTTTTTAAAGCACTGTCACCTTACTGCAGAGCCCGTACCTTTGTTCTGTCTCCTCTCACTGCCAACAATATCTCCACCATGTAATGGTATAACAAGGACTCTTGGTCACTAGCTAACTCTTAGCAGCAGCAATGACAGCTCTCCTGGAATCTTACCTCTCTTCGATTTTCAAAACCCAGTCTTTCACCTCTTTATGATGTTTCCTTTGAAATAGTTCTCAGGTTTACCCTTGCTTCTGGATCCCCATGGTAACCATTGTAGTCTATCTTATATTCAACAAAAATACTGTAACAGTAGCCCAGTTGGCTGCTGTGATTTCCTTGTCTTTTGCTTCCATTTCAACCCACTATTTCCTTATCTATATTGGGTGTAAGACAACTGGGGTGCTTATTAAATATGTATAGTCTTTCAATTCCTGGCTCCGACACTTGTCTCTGGTTTCACACTAATGTAGACTCTGCGAGGCAGCAATGATGGCTCAAGTAACTGGGTTCCTGCCACTTTCGAAGGAAATTTAAATTAAATTCTGGCTCCTGGATCCAACCCCAGCTCAGCTCCAGTCAATTCAAGCATTTGAGGAGTGAGCCAGTGGATGAGAGTTTTCTGTCTGTCTCCATCTCTCTGCAGATAAACTTCACTGCTTAGAAGTACACCTTTTGCTTGCAGTGATCAATATTTGACCTTTTAGTAATTTTATTTTTTAATAATAATTCCCCTTAGGCCTGTTAGTTTCTCTTACTCATTTCCCAGCTTTCTGCTTGAGACATCAATTCTACACCAAAAAATGCTTTTAGAACCTGCTGATGATGTGCTTTTATCTCCAAATTAAAATGTTCACATTGTCCCTTATCTATAATCACAAAGAGTCAGTTAATAAAAGGAAAACAGATTCTCTTGATATGTTATGTTCAGTGTTGACACATAACTTGATATTTATGTTCAGTGCATATCCCACATTGAGAAGGAAATTTAGGATTCGGGGCTTCACATAGTTTTTCTCAGAAAATATGTTGAAGGTTCATATTGGAGGACAAGGAAAAGTTTTCCTAAACTATTTTAAGTCTCATAAGTTTTAACAAGAACGTTATCTAAACATCAAAATTTGGGATACTGGCATTGGAGGTACTGATTCATTCATTTACTCAACAAATATTTTTGAGTGTGTACTAGGTATAGTTCTAGAAACCGGGGTAATAGCAGCAAACAAAAGAAACATAGGGCTAATATTCTGAGAGAAGATTCTAAATAAATAAAAATTTATAATGTCAGTTTGAATTGTTAGGAGAGAAGAGGTTATTTTTTGAGATATTGAATTCATATCCTGTAAGAATCTTCATTTTTCTTCATAAGAATTTCTGTGTACACAAGTGAAAATGGATAATGATTTAGTCTGGGTTTTCTCTTTAGAAAAAAAAATGGGACATTTAATTTCTCCTTCCAGTTATCTGGACTGAGGATTCTTCTATTCATCTTGGTGAAATGCATTTTTTTAAATAATAGTAACAGACCCATTTTTGTCTGCTACCCTGTTGAAGAGAGATAGCCTAGGAAGGATAAAAAATAAGATTATGTAAGAAAAGGGCAATGATATCTAGGATGGTTTGTGCTGGACAAGGAAGAGTCATTGGGCCTTTATGTATGAGGATCTCCAGTATGAAGAATACAAACTGTTACCCTCCACTCAGATCCTGCGGCCAAAACCCAAGGACTTCCATCAGCAACAGAATATACTGGCAGGGAGATTCATAGACACTGGACTGAACTGTATCACCAGGAAAGAAGCTGTGGAATCTTCTCTGTTAATCTCTGAGAACAAAATAAACATCAACCTGTCTAACGTTCTTAAGAAGAATAATTTACTACAGATAGATAGCTTGAAATTCCATACTGGGGTTATATGAGTGTTTACTTCTACTGTTGTAGATCTCTGATCATATTTAAATTATTTCACTGTTCATGTATACTGTTTTACTCATTCCTTCCATTTGAATTCTCAGTCTACACTGTTACCCAGTTTATTGCACAGTGACTTGGAGTTAGAGATGGTCTAGGACCCAGATCTTCTGTCTCCTGCATTCGTCAGGGCGACTAAAAACTACTTGTCCTGAGGTGTTTGCCTGAAGAACTGATTCATAGTTAAAAGCCAACACAAATCCATCTAGTGCCAAATTTCTTTCTTCAGAAAATGACAAAGTGTGGTTCAAGCATAGTTAATAAAATTGCAGCTGAGATGAGACTGTGAGTCATCTGTCATACCCTGGTCTCTCTTTCGCTAATCAGTTGTGAGAAACATTTCAGAATCAGAGAGCAGCAGCAAAGAAATATGAGATACTCAGACTTCTTGAGGCAATTAGACACTAAAGAGCAGAAGGCAAATCAGTCTTCCTGCTTTGACAGTCTTAAAATACACACAGAAAGAAGACTTTAGAGTTACACTATTTGTGACAGATTTTGACCATAACACATTTTCTAAGAGGAAATAAAAATTACTCACTTCAGGACATGCATTCCACCCTCGCATCAGCAGAGAAGATATGGGCTTGGGAATGGAATAGCCAATGGGAGGTCTAATGTGGTGGTAGGCCATGTCTGCTGCTGCAGCTGCTGCAAAGCCAATGGTCATGTTAGTTTTGAAATTCATGTATTTATTTCAAAAGACATATTAACAGACAAAAAAAGGTATCAAAAGTAAATCTGTACTTCTGCAGAGATTCAAAGAGAACTTTATATATTTATGCTTTCTATGCTTTAAATGGAATAGTGAATGATGTGATACTCTTAGTTTGTGATAGTTCATTCATTTAGTTTTTGACTGAAGGCGTAGTAAGCATAGGGAGTTTACAAAGGAGCAAAGGAACATGAAAAGGAGTGAGTATTCAAGGAGCAAGTAGTTTACAGGAAATCAAAGCAAAAATAGACAAATGGGATTACATCAAGCTGAGAAGCTTTTGCACTGCTAAAGAAACACTCAACAAAGTGAAGAGACAACCAGAAGAATGGAATATTTGTAAACTATGAAAATGATAAAAGATTAATATCCAGAGTCTATAGAGAGCTTGAGAGACAACAACAATGAAAGAATCCAATTAAGAAATGGGAAAAAGGACTTGAACAGGCATTTTTCAAAAGGGGAAATTCAAATCTCCAACAGACATGAAAAATGCTCAGGATCACTAAGATATCAGAGAATGGAAATCAAAACCACAATGAGGTTGCACCTCCCCCCAGTTAGAATGGCTCTCATACAAAAATCAAAACACAATAAAATCTGGTGATGATATAGGGAAAAAGGTACTCTAGTACATTGTTGGTGAGGATGTTAACTACCATAGATTTGGGGAGACAGTATGAGGATTACTCAGAAATCTGAAAATGGATCTCTCATATGATCCAACCATGCCACTCCTGAGAATTCACCAAATTGAGATGAAATCAGCATAGCATAGAAAAAGGGATAGATTTATCTGTACCCCCATGTTTATTGCAGCTGAATTCACAATACCTAAGATATGGAATCAACAGATGTCCATCAAATGATGACTGGATAAAGAAAATATGGTATATCTACACTATGAAATACTACTCAACCATAAAAAAGAATGAAATACTGTCAAATGGATGTAACTAGAAACAAATGTATGTTTTTTTTTCTGATCTGTAGTAACTAATAGAGTACCAAAAAACTGTAACATATGAGCAAACCTGACATTTTAAGATCTGATTGTTTTGTTTATAGCTTTTCTGTCCACTGTTGAGGAACAGTGTTTTTTCTTCTTACTATTTGTTGAATTATTTACTTAGTGGTGAGTTAAGCTAATATTATGCAATCAACTGAAAGTATGTCATTGTAAAATTTAAAAAGAAGATTAAGAAAGTAAGTATGAGTCACTGCTAAAGAAACACTCAACAAAGTGAAGAGACAACCAGAAGAATGGATGTATGTATGAAATACATGAAATTTTTTTACTTTATATAAATGAAATTATTAAAAAATAATTATTCTCTACATATTAACAATTGAAATCCCAGCATCTTCATCAACATTAATGGATTTAAGCTTAAAAACTATTTTGCTAGGGTCAGCATTGTGGCATAGGATGTAAAGCTGCTGCCTGCTAGTTGGTATCACATATGGGAACCAGTTCATGTTCTGGCTGCTCCATTTCCAATCCAGCTACCTGTAAAAGCCTAGGAAAGCTGTGAAAGATGACCCATGTACCTGTGCCCTAGCTACTCACTTGGGAGACCTTAAAGAAGTTCCTGACACCTATATTTGGTTTGGCCCAGCCCTGGCTGTTGTGGCCACTTGGGGAGTGAACCAGTGGATGGAAGATCTTTCTTCCTATGTCTCTCCCTTTTCTGTGTAACTTTCACTTTCATATAAATCTTAAAAACCCATGAAAACTCTATTTTGCCCAAATAATATAGATGCATTCAAAAGAGAAAAGTTCAGGGTTATCCTATGTTTTGCTGTGTGCAACATAAGGCCTTCCATGTTGGATTCATGACACTGCTCAGCCTGGTATGATTTATGATTTATCTTTCAATCTCTACTTCCAAAAGCTACACATTACCAGGACACTTTGATTAAAACTGCCTTGTAGTATGTCTTGATATTTGGTATTGTGATGCTTCCAGCTTTGTTTGTGTTGTTTTAGATTGCTTCAGCTATTCAGAGTGTCTTGTGTTTCCATATAAATGTTAGCCTTGTTATTTCTAGATCTGAGAAGAATATCCATATTTTGATTGGGCTAACACTGAATCAGTAAATTGTGGCCATTTTGATGATATTAATTCTTTATGTCCATGAGCATGAAAGATTTTTCCATTTTCTGTGTCTTCTTTTATTTATTTCTTTAATGTTTAGTAATTGTCATTGTAGCGATCTTTCACCTACTTGGTTAAATTTATTCCAAGGCATTTAAATTTTTGGAGCTATTATGAATGGGACTGATTTTATATGTTCTTTCTGAGCCATTGCATTTTCTGGGTATGCAGAGGTTGTTGATTTTGTGTGTTGAGTTCATATCCTGCAACTTTACCAAACTGTCTTATGAGTTCCAATAGTCTCTTAGTGGAGTCTTTTGTTTCCCCTGTACATAGACTCATGTCATCTGCAACTAGGGATACTTTGACTTCCACCTTTCCAATTTGTATTCTTTTGATTTCTCTTTCTTTTAATTTTTAAAAAAGATTTGTTTATTTGAAAGGCAGAGTTACACACACACAGAGAAGGAGAGGCAGAGGCAGAGAGAGAGGAGTTTCTTTTTATTTGTTCACTACCGCAAATTGCTGCAATAGCCAGAGCTGGGCTGATCTGAAACCAGGAGCCCAGAGCTCCTTCCAGATCTCCTATGTGGGTGCAGGGGCCCAAGGACTTGGGCCATCTTCCACTGCTTTCCCAGGTCATAGCCGAGAGCTGGCTCAGAAGCGGAGAAGCCGAGATTCAAATTGGCACCCATATGGGATACTGGCACTGCAGGCGGCAGTTTGAACTGCTATGCTACCGTCTCAGACAGTGAGAGAGAGAGAGACAGAGAGAAAGGTCTTCCTTCCATTGGATCAGTCCCCAAATGGCCACAATGGTCGGAGCTGCGCTGAACTGAAGCCAGGAGCCAGGTGTTTCCTCCCGGTCTCTCATGTGGGTGTAGGGGCCCAAGCACTTGGGCCATCCTCCACTGCTTTCCTAGGCCACAGCAGAGAGCTGGACTGGAAGGGGAGCAACTGGGACTAGAATCACCACCCATATGGGATGCTGGTGCCACAGGTGGAGGATTAACCTAGTGTGCCACAGTGCTGGCCCCTCCATGTTTTGATATTTTGAATTGTCATCTTCATTTGCTTCCAGGAATTTTTTGATATCCCTTTTGATTTATTCTGTGACCCACTGTTTATTCAGGAGCATGTTGTTCAATCTCCATGTGTTTGCATATTTTCCAGAGATTCTTAGTTGTTAGTTTCCATCTTCCTTAAGTTGCCATCAGAAAAGATACATGGTATGATTTCAGTTTTTTTTTTAATTTGCTGAAACTATTTAAAATTGCTGAGACCATTTGCATATGGTCTAGCCTATAGAATGTTCCATGTGCTGATGAAAATAACGTATATTCTTCAATTGTGGGATAAAATGTTCTGTATGTATCAGTTAGGTCCATTTGGTCCATAGTGTAGATTAGTTCTGTTGTTATCTTTGTTGATTTTCTGTCTAGTTGATTTGTGCATTGATGGAAGTGGGGTGTTGAAATCCCCTATTACTATTGTACTGGAGTGTATGTCTCCTTTTAGATCCATTAACATTTGCTTTAAATAGCCAGGTGCCCTGGCATTGAATGCATACGCATTTACTATAGTCACATATTCCTGTTGAATTGATCCTTTAATACATAAAGCCTTTCTCTGTCTATTTTAACAGTTTTTACGTTAAAGTCTATTTTGTCTGACATTAGGGGGTGGTTTCAATACTTGTTTTTGCTTTATGTTTTCAGATATTTTTTTCCATCCTTTCACTTTCAATCTGCATGTATATTTGTTTGTGAGGTATGTTTCTTTCAGGCTATTAGTTGGGGCTTGTTTCTTTAATCCATTCAGGTAGTCTGCAACTTTTAATTATATAATTTGCGCCATTTACACTCAAGGTTATTATTGATAAGCAATGATTTATTCCTACCATTTTTTCATAAAAGGGATCACACAGTCTACTAATACTAACTGATAGAATTAAAAAGGAGAGAACGATCCAACATGGGAAGCAGGATATACAGCAGACTCATAGAATGGCAGAATTCCTAAAAGCACTCTGGCTTCAGAATCAGCCCTTAAGGCATTCAGATCTGGCTGAAGAGCCCATGAGAGTATTTTAGGCATGGATAGCCAAGACACTCTGGTGAAAACAAAACAAAACAAAACAAAAAACCACAACAACAACAACAAAAAAGCCACCTAAATGAATGATCTTTGTGAGGGAGATCCCAGTTGAAAGAACGGGCCATCAAAGAAGGAAGTACCTTTCTCTGAAGGGAAGAGAGAACTTCCACTTTGACTATGACCTTGTCTAAATAAGATCAGAGTTGGTGAATTCAAAAGGCTTCCATAGCCTTGGCAACTCATGACAAGAGCCTTGGGTGATTACTGATGTCATAAACAAGAGTGTCAATTGTTAAATCAACAACAGGAGTCACTGTGCACTTACTCCCCATGTAGGATCTCTGTCCGTAATGTGTTGTACTATGTGAATTAACAGTATAACTAGTACTCAAATAGTACTTTACACTTTGTGTTTCTGTGTGGGTGCAAACTGTTGAAATCTTTACTTAGTATATACTAAATTGATCTTCTGTATATAAAGATAATTGAAAATGAATCTTGGCCAGCACCGTAGCTCACTAGGCTAGACCTCCGCCTGCAGTGCCGGCACCCCGGGTTCTAGTCCCAGTTGGGGTGCTGGATTCTGTCCCGGTTGCTCCTCTTCCAGTCCAGCTCTCTGCTGTGGCCCGGGAGTACAGTGGAGGCTGGCCCAAGTGCTTGGGCCCTGTACCCGCATGGGATACCAGGAGGAAGCACCTGACTCCTGGATTCAGATTGGTGCAGCGCTGGCCGCAACA